TTACTATTTGCAGGCTGTCCAATGACAAGAAACAAGACATAGCCTTCAGAACACCACATTTATTGTCACTTCTGAATCAGTAGTATTGAATGCCACATGCCACATTATAAGATGAACACACGTAACTACATGTACACATGTCAATATGGCACAATGTAGTATGATCAAATAAGTAAGGAACAAAATTTCTGTACCAAAAACTGTACCAAAGGAATTGCTAAATAAAAATATGCAGTATTCATTCATTCATTATATAATAAGAAAGCTGCAAATAGTTCAATAAAACGGAAGGAAACCATACCTTATCAATACTTCATTTTCATGCATACACATGTACACCTTCATGTTATGTTATGAAACTTTTTATGAAATACTGAAGTAGCAATACGTCTAACATCAGAATATTGAATTATTACTTTAACAATAAAAATTACTTCTGGATGAAAGAAATTAAAATTGGAAATCATTCCATCACCATTCTGTGATATTCTGCTTATCAAATCCACAAACACATTTCACTCAAAGTAGGTAACGTTACGTTATGTTGTAACAAAAGTGAAGAGTTGGACACAATATAGCCATGCATGTTCTACAAGACAACATCATTAGGCCACACCAATTTAATTTCTTGGTTAACGGATTCACCCGCTTCATTTTTTTCTGATTTGCAAATAAAAATTCAGAATCAACTGCAAAATGCTCATATTTTGCCCTGAACAGTTGAAAACAGGCCTTTTCTTCCTAGTTGTTACAGTTATTCCATCTTTCAATGCAGTTAAAAGTTCAAAATTCATTGTTTAAATTTTGAAATGCCTGGTGTGTTGACTTCATGGCTCCTATCGTACCATTTTGGGCCATAATAGGATGCCTAGGCCTGTTTTTATTTTTATTTATTTTTCGCCTGCCCGCTCCTTTATTTTTCTAGAAAAATCCGTTAACCAAGAAATTAAATTGGGCGTGGCCTTATATCTATTTTCTATCAATACAATGGAGACATTGTAATTTCTAAGCAGATGTGAATCATAAGTAAGAAAAATGAGACAACCCAACATCACCTATAGTTAGCTTGTTGATGATAAGAAAGAAAGAAAGATACATCTTGAGCCTGTAATCTTAAGGAACTTGAATCTTGTCTTCTTCTGGCGAGTCTTCCGGAAGGAATGATCCCCCAGCTCAATCACTTCTTGGATTTCTTCTCCTGTCAAGAAATGAAGGAGAGGTTTAATGAGAGATAGCCAGAACTACCCCCCATCTCAACTTTCCAAACACAACCCCCCCTCTTGTTACAATTGCAATCACCATTTCATTACCACTTTGGGTAAAATTAGCATCCATAGGATACTACTTTTTGCCAAGATTCTACATCAACAACCCTAAAACCACCTTACCACCTCTGCAAGCATTGGTTACACAAAGTATAGTACAAATAAATTTATTCTTTGAATGTAACTATCATCCTCATCTTATTGAAGGTGGACCAGGTACTTAACACATCAATTGCCAGTAATAATACAATTCTCATTATGATATACAATTTCACAAAGAATTGACCTCCTGTTATGGAAATACTGTCCTAGTTTGCATCCTACAATGTTTATCCCCTAGTCTAACTTCAGTTCATGTTTCAATTATGATACGACTGGAAATGTTTATGACATTCTCTCATTTACAATGGAAATACCACGATACCCTCAAACGTTATCCTGGTTATGGATGAACCAACAACAAGAACCAGGTGTCAGAAAATGAAAGTGAAGATTGTAGGTTCTGCTGACATGTGTGTGGAACTGTCCATGTTCTTACCTGCTGCCTCTGTGCCAGGATGATCATGATGCGGCGGAAGATGTTGACAAAGTCCAGGAACAGGTCCACACAGTGCCTGATGAGGAGGTCAATCAGGTCAACTTTGCAACTTTTTACATTGATTTGCAAGCCCTGCCCTGCATAATTTCCTATCTCTCACATTATATAATTTTTATCAGCTACATGTACAGACAGCATCATTCTTTCCATCTGACAGAATTTTACCGCTCATGGTGGACAGAAATGATGTGTTAAGATATGGAAAGAGATGCCATTAATCTACTGGTAAGCTTAGTTGACCAGCATAATTGTTCCCTCAAAATACAGCAAATAGTGTTTAAGAGGATCAAGATTGCAAACTTTTTCCGTCCCCCCTAGGATCTGGATTGTCACACGCACACCTTCAGCACTTGTCATGATGTTATGCCAAACAAAATTGAGATGGTGGAAAACATTTCAGGCTGGTGAGAACACTGGCTACTAAGACAACTGAGTTACGGTGGAACAAGTTCACAAAGACAACAGGATCTTTGTGACAAAATGACTAATGTTGCCAGAAAGAGACAAGTCTTGGGTAAAATTGAGCCAATTCTAAAGAAAATCCTAGAAGACAGGTTCAATATCAAACAAAAACACATTTCAGGCAGGCTGTTTATAACACATGTGAGCACATTAAGCTGTAGCCTGGTGTCCAAAACTGGTGACAGAGAAAGAAAGAAACTCAAGCTAAAACATAGGTTTGGACAACAGGCTACAGCTTAATGTGCTTAAAGTTGCGCCCTGAAACCCTTCTGTCAGCCATGGAACAACTGTCTCAGAAAATTTGGTTGTGCACTGATATTTAGTACTGTAGCTTTTGCAATGTAAGGTTAGCCTAGTTACCAAACCTATTTTAGATCTCTTCAAATAGTTCTCTCCACTATTTGCAGAGATTGAAAGCAACTCGGCAGCTAATACATGTAGTTTTGGTATTATATAAACCAGGCAAAGTGGTCATTTTTTCAGCAACTTGTGACAGCAGCTCTCCCTAGTGATCCAGTGCGGTACTGCAGCCTGTGGTTCTACTCCACTCACCAGATGTAATCAGTGTCTCCACGGCGGCGCTTCTCCACGATCAGCTGGGTGTCATACAGCACAAAGGCACAGAAGATGGCCAGTCCCACATACAGCTGTGCCTGGGAGGTGGTGGAAAACACAGGAATATTTCATGGCTATTACTGTGATAGAACTCTACAGTTTAAAAAAAAATACTTAAGATAAAAATTTAACCCTTGTCCTGCGGGGCCCATATATATATGGGTTGCACATACAGTACCATCTTTATAGCGCCCTGTATATGTACGATTTTGAAAGAGGAAGTAGGACCTGAAG